CAAACAAAAATGAACAAAACTGACATTTTGTTTCTTTTGTCATGCACATTTGTGGTGCCAAGTTTCAAGAACACTGCTTCAGTATTTCTAGAGATATTGTTTATTCAGTATTTTACCATAATTTAGTTGCAAACAATATGACGTCATCACTGCTCTAATTTGCATAATAGAAAAGAGTCAATATCTCAAAAACGAAAAAAAGATATTTCAAAAGGAAAAACGCCATTCTTCTGTACTTTGAAAGGCCTTTCTGATAAGCAGAAATTATCTGTCATGTCATATACACTTTATACGGAATATTCATCGAAGTAGCTAATTAAAACAAGATCTGACAGCAAAAATATGACAGTCGTGTTTCACCTTTCGCTAACAATTGGTCTTTTTGAAGCCAGCGGGAATTAAAATTCAGTAACAGATTGTTGAATGTTTAATCACGATTGTGCGCATGTCAGGATAGGCATATTGTAAACGCCTGCATTCAATGTTTTTGTCTTTTTCCACGTGTAGCATTAAATTTATAAAATGTGATTGCGTATTAAGAATACTCCATTCAAATTAACAAACTCGTGTTGTTTACAGGGTAGGGTGGAATGTAGAATAATTTGGATTTCAGGATGAATTTCAGTTTCCACAATTTAACATTAAAGTGGTACTATGATCAAATTTCCCCCCCTTGATGTTTTAGGTGTATCACATAGAATTCCATGAAAGAATAAAAAGGCAGTTTACCGTTTGCANTTTAACATTAAAGTGGTACTATGATCAAATTTCCCCCCCTTGATGTTTTAGGTGTATCACATAGAATTCCATGAAAGAATAAAAAGGCAGTTTACCGTTTGCAAATATCTACATTAGTTCCGTCATCACTGGGCTAATTTGCATATTTTGAAAACTTGAATATCTCTGGAACGAAGAGAGATATTTGAATATAGTAAATGTTGTATCGATCCATACTATTTATTTTGATCCTTTGATAGATTCCGAGATATGACAATGTTGTTCTAAGAGTTAATTCCGTGTTCCGATAGATATTTTCCGTAATACAGAGATAGATCAATGTCCACGCTAGACTCCTTTCCGTTCTCTCCGATTCCTTTTCTGCCAACGTTTTTCAAGTGGCAATCACGAGACTCGACTCAGACCTCGCAGGTCAAACCAGCTCCAGTCCCTAACTTATTTACAACAGTAAACAGCATTTTTCTTCTCACACGGGCTACTTGTTTATGTTTTAAAATGGCTGCGATAGGAAAGATGCGATTTTCGTCATAGTACAACCTTAAAAGTAGCACGCTTCCTGGGTAGTCAATCGACCAAATTGACAATCGATGATATTCGATAACAATCGATAAAACTCAGTCAATCATATCGAAAATCGATACAAATGGATAACAGGATTCTTTGTGAGTAATAGATAATTATCGATTTTTCACTTAGCGTTATCGATGTTATCGATAAATATCGAATTTATCGATTCTAGCTTATCTTACAATTTATCGATACGAAGCCAAAAAAAAAATATATAACAAGCTGGCAAAAACCACTCAAACGGTTATCTGTGGGAAACACAAGAAAGGCGTCCACACTTTCACAATTTCACGATTCACAGATTTTATTCACCCGATCAAAACACACCGCGCT